AAAGAGAGAAGAGATAGCTAAGGAGAAAGGATGAAAGAAAAGAGAGATATTATTGTTTGAATGAAATCAAATGAACCTTTAATTTTCGTATAATTTTTGACAATTCTGTCTCTGCTCATCATCAACCCAGAGAGAGAGCTAGGTAGCTAGCAGTAGGGAGGTGGACAGAATGCCAAAATGGCTATGGTATGGAACAGGCCTCTGAGAAACCCTAGAGAGCAAGAGAGAACTCTGAGAAGAAAGAGAGAGGGTGGTGGGTAGGTAATTAGGTGTGTGAGAGAGGAATATAAGAGAGAAAAGTCGATATAATTGGGTTGTATGATGAGGCTTTGAATTAAGGTGGCATTTTGTGGAAAGATTGTGTGTTGGTGTGTGTGTTCTTATATATATATATATATAGAGAGAGAGAGAGAGAGAGAGGAGAGAGACAGAAATATATAGAAGCGTGCATGGAGATGTAGGACTTGTGGGGGGGGTATGGTGGGAGCTACCAAACTTCTGTATGTTTTCAAACTTTGAACTTTTCTTGTGAGAGTTCCCATGGAATTACATATCATCCTCCTGCATGCTATTTAAGCTTCAAAATATAAGTTAATTTTTATATTATCAGCATAATTAATTTTTAAATTGTCTTGAAAAGTGATTTATTGTATCAGGAATTTAAGGGGAAAAACCAGCAGACATCAAAACATTAATTTAATGAAATCTCAATTCATTTGAAGCTCTATATGAAAATAGTTCTCAAAATAATCATAGTTTTCTTTTTAAAAAATTCTGAATATTTTTAAAAGTTAACATAAACAATACAATATCTTTTAAATTAATTTTTTTTTGCAAAATAAAATTTATTTTCATTTAAAAAAAATTGAAACAATCAAATAATTGAATAGGAGGACATATAAAAACATGGGGCCACAGGAAATAAGTGCCGGCCGAACATCGTGTTCTTTGCCTTTTTTTTTTGGGACTCAGTGTTCTTTGCCTTTTGCATACTCTTCTACATATAAGTAATTCTACAATTTTTCGCATACCAATATTTCTATTAAATTGATAAAAAAATTTATATTTGCACTTGTTAAAAAAGTTATTAAAAAAATATATTGTATATTTTTCTCATATACTTTTTGTTGTATTCAATAGGAATAAAATTAAAAAATGATCATTAATCACCTTAGACTTATATGTAAGACCAAATTTTTTCTATAAATAACTCACAGGCAAGGCCAAAGTGGCAAGGTTTTGGCGTCCTTCTTCAGTTACCAGATAAAATATCCCCTCCATTCCTCTAATTACCTCATTATTTTTTAAAAAAAAAGTAGGTTGGCTTATTAATTTTATCCGGAAATAAAATATTTTTCAACTTTGTTCATGTGTTTTTTATTCTAAGTATCTAATTTCTTATCAAATTCAAGTGATTTCTAACACCGTCTTTGTAAACTATACTAAATTTCAACATTATATTAGTTTTTACCTATTCTTACCATTCTTATTAAATATGAGCATATATAAAAAAATTAATATTCTTTAAAATTATCAAGGGCATCAAGAAAAGCTTCTAGAAAATGCCTTACAACGTTGATAATATTCGAAAAGTGTTTGTTAGAGACAGATTCAGTAGTTTATATCATCTTCTGTCCTTAATGCAAATGCAAGTTAAGAGGTAGATTTAATTTTAAATATAAGATATTAATCTGTTTTATCTTTCAAATTTATAATTTTTTTGTAAAATATTCTTGTTGATTGTAAATGATTCCACCAGGAGTAGTTCTAATGTATATGATCGAAAGAAATAGTATAAATTTGTTATAAATAACTAATTTAATTTTTTATTTATTTAATATGTCTAAATTTAGTTAGCTCTTGTATAAAGATGGGCAAAATTATATATCTTCGGTCCTAAATATAAAACCTCATTTAATATTATAAACGAGATTTTATACTATCTCTGGTCTTAATTATAAAACATCATTTGTAGACTATAAATAAAGTCTAATTAGGATAGAGGGTAGAAGTTAGAACCGGAGATAGCAGAAAACAACTTTTTTCCCAAAAGACACCGTATGTTTAGAATTGGAGGAATTATGAATAAATAGAGAGACCTCGGTGTCCTTAGCGTAGACAGACAGTACGACTAGGAATGGGACGCCATGGCCATGGGCCAGCTGCTACTTTTTTCCCCTCCCATGCAATTGGCACTATTTTTAACTTTTTAAAGGATCTGATTTATCATCTTACGTTCTTTTCTTTTCTTTCTACGGAAAAAAAAGAGAGAGAGAAATAACAATCCCGGACCATGCTAAGCCATTGATTTTAATGGGAGACCTCTAATTATTAAATTTCATTAAAAAGATTATGGTCTATGTTAGGATTAAAAACTTGAATTGACAAAATTGCCCTTCTATGTGTATAACCATGGACTGCTAGAATCACATAACATTAATTGTGAATTCCAAATAAGACACATATGTGAAAATTAGATGATCCATGAGATTGCTCTTAATCTGAAAGTCTTGTGTAGCCCAAATATTCTCTTAATTAGTGAATACACAGGGGTCTTCAGTTCAAGTTTTTCTTTGGTTCTGTAAAGACTGCAAAGATCAATTATTTTTTTGGATTTGTTTTTGGGCAGCACCTTCAAAACCACCGCTTTCAGGCAATCAAACTTGGAAGGATATATTTTTCTTTTTATCTTGTTTTAAGGAGTGTAATTCTAGGGTAGTATCTTATTCTTCTTTATTGAATTTCACTCAGGATAACTGTTACTCTATCTGTTTTGTAGCCTTGCGACCCATTCTCATTTTAATGATATTTTGACTTTTTAACAAAAAAAATTAGTGAAAACGCAGATTGAAGTATCAGAAAATTTCAGCATCAGTAGAGAGAGAGAGAGAGAGAGAGAGAGAATATGGCTTCTTTTTGAAGAAGGGAGGGTCAATGTATGAAACTATGCATGTGGTGTGCTTTTGAGCAAAAGAAGATGCAGAGCATGCTGTCTGTGTCTCCCACTTTCTTTTTGTCAACTCCATTTTTCCCCCCTCCCCATGAAGGCCTAGGTGAAAAAACAAAACAAAATTAATAGCTATGCCAAAAGTATTATGTATATATAATAATTAATATAATTTTAAATTTTAACTTGGTCAGAGTCAGGGATGCATAATGATAAGCTAAGGAGCTATTGGAAGAAGTGCTTAATGCTTGCCTAAGGTTAAGGGTTTTAATAGCACTAAAATTATCTACCCTTCATGATTTATTAGGCTCCCTATTAATACACCCTTAATTCTACGCACATCATAGCAGGCTTCTGTTTGCTCCCCAACAAAGCCCTTATTCCCCGTAGGTATGTGACTCTTTGGTTCACCTTTCATGTCCGTCGCTATCTTCTTCCTTTCGTTGCTGCTGCCTGCTGTGTTTTCTGAGAAGGTGGTTCCATCTTCTCCTCCTCTAATCTCATATATACATATATATATATTATATATAGAGAGAGAGAGACATATGGCTTTACATTCCTCTCCTGCACTGCTCAAGAGGGTAGCAAAGCTCACTGCCAATATTTTAGGGTGCTGAAACGGAGGAGAATAGGGACCGAGGTACAATATATATATATATATATATATATATTGGAAAACTAATAAATAAAGACCCCCCAATTACCAAAATTATACAGAAGTCACTAAATAAAAACAAAATTACCATGAAAGACCCAGTCCCATATTGTAAATATGAAATCTTAATGAGATGTCTGAAACGCCCTCAGTCAAGTTGTGATTGGGTCTACTGAAATTTTCATTCGTTAAAGTAAACTTGTTATTTCCTATAGTCAACTTGTCATTTGGTATACCTTCAACCAAATTATGATTTGATCTACTGAAATTTCATTCACTTAAGTGAACTATCATTTGGCTGAAGGGTATTTCAGATATTTTACTAAGATTTCATATTTGCAATATGAGACGGTCCTTCATGATAATTTACTTATTCAGGTGACCTCTGCATGGTTTAGTAATTCAAGGGTCTTTGTTTGTGATATTTTCTTTTTTTTGGGCCAAAAGACCAAGTCACAATAAGTTAAAATTGACCAAGTGATTAATTTTCTTATTTTTTAATTTGGATTCACGTATCATTTTGTTTCTTTATGCTACTTAAGTAGTTAAGTAAATTATTTAATTGGTTTCCCTGAAACACCTTTTTTAATTATTTGTATTGAAAACTATCCTCTCCTTAATATGTATAATTAATATGAAAAGTTTAAAAAAAATTTATAAATTTAAAAGAGAGAATAAATTAAAATTTTATATTTAAAATCAAACTAACCATTCTATTAGCTTTTATATTTAAAAGCAAAGCACGTGGAAGCCTTAATTGAGACAGAATTAAGAAGGTTTATTTGTAATTTATTTTTAAACGTAAACCTGAATAAAGGATAATAGTATATACTCTCATAATATGCAATTCTATCCCCTGTTATTTTTCACCCGTCGCTGTTTACGAGTGGAGTCAAAAGATCATAGGGATGAGGATCGAGAAGTTTTGCGCAAAATACAAGACTCCCATAGTGACCCGAAAAAAAATACAAAGAGGGGAAAAAAAAAAAAAAAAAAAGCCCTACCGGGTCCGGGTGTACTCCTAACAACTTAATCAGGGGTTGGACACTCCCACAAATAGAGTGGGTTGGGTTTGATGCCTAAACTAGTCGAGATGCTGGGAAAGACATATTCACAGTTTAGTGAAGTTGAAAAATTCCTGCACCAGCAAAAACAAGAGTTTGCTTGTCATGTTCCTGTCCTGGACTCATAAGAATAGGCCTTAGCGGATCTTGAATTAGTTCCCCTATCTAGATCGTAGGTGAACTCGACCATTTTCTTAAAATTTTTGAAGCGAAAAAAAAAAAAAAACATTCTTTCCTAGAAGTGATGATTATTTCCCCAGATGACCGACGCTGAAATTACCGAGCGATTTTTCTCTTTTGAGAAACCAAGCCAAAAAAAAAAAAAAGCTTATTCTTTCCCTTTTGTACCTCCTCGTTTTATAAGCTGTATCTATTCTTTTACTTCTGTAAAGAGTTTATAAAATTCGTACGCTTCTACGAATATGCAAGATCAAGAAAACCATATTTACGTCCTGCGTAGCTATCAGCTACCAAGACCTACATACTACTTCTATATTCCCCCTTTTTGGGTTTTTTGATCTGATGTTCTCTTCAAAGGATTTAAAACAAGCTCCTTTGCTAATCAGCAATCTCCAATAGGACTAGCGATCTCCACAGTGATTCAATGCTGTTGTTATGCTGTTTCATTCAAGCCACAGGAACATTATCTTGCAGTGTCTTTTCAACTGGATTCTCTAATGCCCACACAGCTGCATCGAGATATCCAAGCTCAAAGAGCTGGTCAAGGATTTCATCATCTGCTGGCTCGAGTGCCCAATTGAATAGCTGAAATAATTTCAAAGCATCACTTTCATTGCCCCATTGAGTGGCTAAAGTTCCTTATGAGTCAGCAATCCAATCCAAATATAACACATCAAAGTTCATTTACAATTCAGCTTCGCACTATTGGTCCTTTCAGAATAGCTCGGTCACATATTAAAATGGACCAGACTTGCATACAGTTCCTTATATATGATTATTTATCTTAGCATCATAATCAATCAATATCAGGCTATTCAGTTAAAACAGAAGTGTATGATTCTCTAGTAATAACATGAAAGGCGCATGATTTAAATTAAAAAAATACAAGTGTCTGCATAAATTATACACCTACACGTTCTGATTAGAAAACCTAATAATAATTATACAAGAAAGCGCATTTAATTTTTGTTCCAATTACAATTCTATAAAAGAACCTGATAGCAGACACTCAAGAATTGCACAGTTTATTCATTCACCGAAAAAAGAAAAAAAAGAAAGAACTGCATGATTACCTGACGAGGACTAGCTCTGTTTTCAGGATTGCAGTCTGGACTGATCCCTATGCCTTGCAGTCCCAATCGGCTTGATGGGAAAGCACAAACACGAACCTATAGAAGCAAAAAGAACTTTATTGAGGTAGAAATTTGACCATAGATATGGCATATCATAACTATGTTCAATCATTTTTGGAATAAATACTGAAAACTATTGATGTTAACCATAAACCGGCACAAAGTAAGAATCATAACAGGCAGGAAATGAACTTACCCGATTGAACCTCACATAAAGTATTTTGGATATGTTCAATTGCGTAGTCATATTAATTTAATATTTTTTCTTTATAAAAAAAAATTTATTTAATATTTTATACTGCACTTAATTTCAGGTTAAAAATAAATAATCATTCGGATGAATCTAAAGATTTCAACTAGTACATTAAGTCATTGATATACCGTTTGTGCAGCAGATGTTGGTGGCATAAACAATGTCAACCCCCCATCAATGCATAGGCGATTTCTAAAAAGTGTTGCTGGCCTTGGTGCAAGATATCTGAAGAGCGACATGGATCTTATTAACTTAATTTCCTTAATAATTTATGATCATGGATGGGGCCATAATACACGAATCAAAGTGAAATAGTATACTAACAAATCACCCTGGAATAAAGGAAGAAGTAAAAACAGCATTGATGAGATCTTCCTTGGAATCAAACTGATCTACCAATAAACCCCTGGGTCTCCAAAGAAGTTGTGTCACAGCAACTGCAACAGAAGAAGCAATGAAATAAGAAACAGTAAAACTTAATATAATCCTAGGGGAGAAGCCATCATTGTATGTTCATTAACAAATGAAGCTCACAGCATCACTCATTTCAGTACGAATTCTTCTGTTGAAAAAAAAAAAAAAAAAAAATGGAACTTCCAAGTGACCAGTCTTACCTCTAATTCTCCCATTAGATCTGACATGAGTGTCATCTGGCAAAAAGTTTTCAAGAACATTGCGGAGAACCGCCTATGCAGAACAAAATTTGAACCATAAGTGAAATTTGAGCTTACAAAAAGAATATCACCCACAACCACACATGCTACAATTGATGTTAACCTCAAATTAACTTCTCATCATGGATATTAATTTTATTCAATTTTCACAACATAAAGATACAAAGCTCATAGGATCATTCTTCCATTTGTCCAAACAAACACACTATTATATGAACATATTGAAGTGGGTTTTTCTATTTCTCCATCCTGAAAGAATTTATCATTAATCAAAAGTCGTGTAAACAGAGACAATAGTGAAATAGCAGGTCAGAAAACTGCGGCAATCAGCATTCCTACAGAATCTTATTATTGGTAAGGCCCCACAGAATTTCTGCTTCAACGAATGAGAGAAAAGGCGCCAAAAAGATAAGGGACGGTAAAATAAGAAAAGAACTCACAGGGCAATAACATGATATTCCCAAGCCCTGCGTTGGTGCAAATTTCATAGAGAGAACATATTTTTTGTTACTTAATTAGTCCCTCAAAATTTGGAGCTTTAGGGACTAATGAATACCAAGGAAAAAAAAATTAAATTAGTCATGATTGTGTAAGTAAAATTTAAAATTCAAATAATTGATACCTAAATCCTCCAGGGGCAAAACATAACATTTCGACATTATCTAATATGTCATCTATAGCAATTCTCACAAACAACATAGACTAATTAGTTTCGTCATTGATCAATAAAATGCTCCACAAAAAGAATTTTATATTGTTTTTGGTTACTTATAGATAGGACTGTATATATATATACACACACTATATATATTTGGATTAAAAGCATACCCCCAGCCGAAATGCAGTTCCCTGGCTCCGACAATCTTCAGCCAATATTTTGGTAGCTTCCAGGGCCTCTTCCATACTAGCACCAGAGGCAATTACAGCACAGACTATAGCTCCGGCAGAGGAACCAGCCAATGGCGTGGTTTCCTGCTTCAATAAATAAACCGAATAAGTCTTCATTTAAGAGTGGTATGATAAATAAACTTGCAGATTAAGCTGGAATAAAACAAATAATGCCAAGAGATGTGGCATCGAGCATGACCACTGCAACTAAACAATGCACATCACTTATCATTGTAGCGTAGAATACGAAGCACATCAGAAATCGTTAAAACAATTCTAAAACGGAGGATTATCAAGCACCAAAAGTTTTCATTACCACTAATATTCGTATGAAATAGATAAACTTTTAGACCTTGTCGCAAACTTCTAATTGGGAATGGAAACTGTGGAGTCACAAATATTCTATCTCGAAAATATAAGAAAAAATTAAGTGACAAAATAACAGTAACATTGGGGCTGGCGTCCTAAACCCGAAATTAATTGTCCACCTTAATGTAGCCCTTCTCAATGAGAAATTTCGCCACTCCAAGATGATAAGGAAACAAAAGCCCAGCTGCCGAGAAGCTAAACCCAGGGCTAGTGATTATGCGCCTTTCCCGCTCAGCCTCAACATCCTCAATCCTCTGCTCCCACACGACCCCAGGCTCAACTTCATCCTCAATCACCGCTCCAATCCGCTCCTCGTAAAATGCTCCTTTCTTGGTTGAACTCTCAAACATGGTCACAGAGCCAGAATCGCCAACAACAGTGTTGCTACTCCGGCGATTAATCAGTCGCGAAGCAATGCTCAAGAAAATCTCCCCCGTGGCTACGGCGAATGATTTTTTCTCAGAGGAAGGTGGCGGAGGAGTGGCGGAGTTTTCGAGCTTACGCGGGGGCAAGGAATTGACGGTGAAACTGAGCGTTGAGGTGCGAGGGGGGAGAAGGAGAAGGGAATTAGGGTTCGGGTTACGGAGAGGGGAGGGAAAGCGCACGGAGGAGAAAGGAGAGAAGGAGGAAGCCATGAAGGAAGAAGGGGAGAGGGCTCCTTCTTCGGCTTCTCCGCTGGGATATGACTGTGAGCGGAAGAAGAAGAAGCATAGTTAACGGTTTATGAAATCGATGACGAAAATATGAACGAAATTAGTTTGTTGTTTGGAGAACAGTTTGGGTGCTCCGCGGGGGATAACCACCATTGCGTTCATCCCCTAAACGCATCGTTTAGCTCATTAGCTTCTCTCACCATCTTCTCCGGCTCCAGCCCCTCCACCACCTCTGCCACCGACAGCCTCTTTAGCAAGCGAAATTAAAACAAGGACTGATTATGTTTAAAAACATGTTTTAACCAAAATAATTACCATTATTATTAGAATATCGGACCCAAAAATTACAATTTTTGTTAGAATAATAATTTCGTCCTTTTAAACCGTCATTAGGACAATGGCCTTAATTATTAACTAACCAGTATTAGAAAGCGTCGGACCCTTGGTCTGTAATTAACGGTTTAGGCGGGCATATCGTTGCCAGAAGCAGTTTTGTTTTAAGTTTCAGAAGCCAAAAATTCATGAGATTTCAAATTAACGAGAGAGAGATTATCAATTTAGTGGACAGTAAAAGATAATTTTCAATTACTAATTTGGGTTTACTTATCTTAAATACTTCCATCCAACTCATAAGGGAGTATTGTTCATGGTGTAAAGAGGGAAACATAAGAACAAATTTTTTTCGCCCCCATTTTTCCTTTTTTTTTGGGGGGGGGGGTTGCACATGAACATTTTATTTTTTAAATACATATGAACAAAATTTAACCAAACACATGTGCGTACATACCCACAAATATGAAAATAAAACAACTGTGCTACCAACTGCTAGAGTCAATACATCAAAGAGGGACTCTGTAGGATGGATCCACCATTTTCAGAATGAACAAGTTCCCTCTATTACCTCTTGTTATCCTGTGCAGAAGAAAGATATTCAGATTCCAAAATAAGCAAAGACAGTTCAGAAGACGACAAAGTAATGGAAAGTCATAGCTATACGCACTTAAGCTGGACAGTTCAGAAGACGACAAAGTAATGGAAAGTCATAACACGCACTTAAGCTGTCTTGAAAAAACTAGCAATTGTTTGACTATCATATGGGGACTAACGATCTAATTGGATAACTGGGGTGATTAGGGTTTAAAATTAAGAATTTGAACCTACAGTTCTGTTAGTTTGGTTATTATAAGAATAAAAGTGATCAGATACATTATTATTATAATAATAGCACCAACGAAATTTATTCTAATAATAAAGTTTCGTTATTATTATATATTGACAGGGACAGTCAATATATAACCTCTCAAAACTGAAGAATTTACCTTAAGTCTTCATCCAAATAGGTAATTTCTATCTGACCACGACCACTCCCACGAGATTTAATAGGTATCTGAGATTACCATTCATGAAGTCATTTACCGCAGAAAAATAGATAACTTGCACACAAACACACAAACTGAAATACGCATGTTTAATATGAATTCCAGTCAATAGTTTGTTACTATGCATGTAACAGAAAGAATATGTCACAACAGTAATCATTAATCCTCCTCCAGAAAGAAGAAAAGTTTCAGAAATAAATAACGTCAACCAAGAACTCTGCTGCTGTAAAGGTGCTGTTAGCTCAGAGAAGATAGCATCCCTCCTTGACAACTTAGATTCTTAAATTCAATTCCTTTAAGAAGCACTCTGGGAGTAAAATCCTCAGTGCATTAAGCCAAATGTGCAGAGAAGGGATTTAGTTTCAATAACATCTCTGGTTCTGTAATACAAAGGAAAAACAATGAAATCTCTCTACATTATGGTCATTAGCTAAACTTTGATATAACTATGTATTCATATGCATTGGGATGCCCATGAGTTCAATCCAAGCTCTTGCCTCTAAATATCTTCTCGTTGTCTCTTTTTTTCCCATTAAGTTATCACTCTTTTAGGCCAAGTTTAAGCAAACAGTGTCAAGTGTATCAATGCATGTTTCTAGGAATCCTAGATGCAATTCACCGTAATAAGAAAACGGTGCTTGATTCAGTAAAAGAAAAATCTGGGAGGTGAATAGCATGCTCTGGCTCGAACATCAGCATATTCTGAGTATGTGACCGATAAATCAAATATGAGAAGTGACGCCAGCACACATCACCTACCAGACTAGCAATTTTGAAGGAGTCAAACTTCACAGCCACCCTTTTCGAGTTTAGAGGCACTAAATTGGCAGTAGCCTGCAGTAATGGTAAGAAATCTGTAGGCTCCAAATTCCAAATCATACTAAATTTCTATAGCAATAAAAATATATTTGAAAATAATGGAAGAGCAAATTAGTGAGTAATTACACAAATTTCTTAAACACCTTATTAAAGCAGTAAGAGTACCTGGTTGTAGAATGGCCAAGTTTCCAAATTTTGAGCTCTCAAAGTATCCAGATTAATGGCCTGATAGATCTTTCCATTTGGTCGCAAGAACTTTGGTCTCTACCATGATCACAATCAATACTCACTTTAATAAGGAAGATTAATAAAATTAAGAAAGCAACAAGTTATACATATCATGAGAAACCAAAAACAAATTACATGTAACATATGCACAAACATAGTGTTTTTGGATGTGCTTCTCATATATTAATCTCTGCCAACAGGAGTTCAAGGAAACGTTGGGCCCGCCCTAACGCAGTGATTGTTGCGGGACGCGTTAGAAATAGAAAATTATACTTAAGAGCTCAAATTAAAAGATCATAAACTTTGTAATTATCTTCAAATACCAAACTTATTGAGTTTTAGGAGACTTACACCGAAATTTTCAAGAAGTTACTATAGTTTTAAATAGCTTGGCTAGTGAGGTTCCTAAAATCGTAGCAACTTTCCCAAGCAATAGTGATATTATTTAAGTTTATCCATATGCACTTGGTCTTTCAAAATAATTATTACAGATTCGATCTTCTTATCTAAAATTTAAGATGATTTATTTCTTCTTCTTTTTTTCCCTAATACATTGAAGAGGGTTTCCCTAACATTCAGGGATGAAGATGGTATCACGTCAACCGACCAGAGAAGCTCAAACTAGCCAAGTTTTACCCACTGTTACCCAATCACAAACCTGCGTTTGCAAAATAGACTGAGATGTTGTGTACAGAAGCTCCCATTTCCCATTCAGCAAATCGGACTTGAGAGGCTTCTTTACAGAGTTCAAGGCCTCAAGTTTACGAGCAATCTAGAAAAGACCCAATTATTAATAAGACAAAAACAAATACGGAAGCAAAATTCTAGAAGTTTCAGAATGATGCGTAAGTTCCACCAGGTCCACACGTTCTTGATCCTCCGGGGTAGCTTCGGCGCCTCGGTCAAGCGGTGCAATTGTCTGATAAAGCTCCTCCTTGAGGCTCTGAACATCTTTGGTTCTACTAAGAAACCCAGGGAAAAAAGAAACCCTGTTGCTCCATTTCGAAGAATCCACGAAGGGTATTATGGTGAGAGGGATAAGGAATTTTGGGGAAGAGGAAGAGAAAAGAGGGTTTGGGAGAGAAGCAGAGAAGGAAGGATGAGAATCAATGCTAAATTTGATAGACCTGGGAATCGCAGCAGAGGAAACCCCGAGACTAGCCATTGAAGAAGACAGTTTGGTTGGCCGCTCGTCAGGCCAATACCGCGGAGCTTGGGTACTCACACCCACCGGGAAGAGCACCATGGTGCTCACCACAAACGCACCGTCTCATTAATTGAAATGAGCGGATGAGATTATTTCATGGCCAATGGCTCAGATCACTCTGTTCCAATCAAAAGTACTTGTCTGGTCCTATTTATAAGATAGAAAGAGAAGTCTTTTTTTATCTTATTTATAAATCACTTCATTAAATTTTCAGCATGAATATATTATTTTATCTTTTATTTATTATAATATAATTAGTTATCTCTTTTAAAAGGTGTATATATTAAATATGGGTAAAATTAAAAATTGTTATATTTTAATAAAGAGTTAATATACTTTAAAATTTTTATTGATCTGTGTGAAATATATTGAAAATACCTTATAAATAAAATTAGAAGAGTACATCGTATTCGTGCAGTATCATAGAATCCCCAACAGCTGGATTTTTTCCCCCTTTGTCCTCCGCTCCTCCTAAGTAATTCTAACTATCATGATCTCATGGAGAAGGCCCCTCGGACATGGTGTATTGCTGGTGAAATCCCACTGTATACAATGTGAGGATTAAGAAATACCACTAAGAATTATTAAAAGGCAATACATAGTTTTGTAAGCACTTTTTCAATTCAATACGTCCTTTTTGAATCTAACACCACACTTGAAGCTACGTCCTGACTATAATAATTGTTAAACCCAACTCATCTAAATTTTTTCTTAACCAACTCTAGGTGCAATACTTCAGGTTTGAATTGAAAGAAATTGCATTGTTCTTATTTAATAAATATTATTGCTCAATATTACGTGTGCGCGCATGTTTATAGTATCTGAAGGTAATATTAAATAGTATCTCAAGGTAATATTAACTGGAGTGTCCTGATACAGTAATACCCTTCAAAAATGCAACGTATGGGTGGCAGGAAAAAAAAAAGCCCAGGGTGCTCATGGCCCACGATGGCTTGCAATGCTTCCATTGAGGTTGCGAAGAATATAACAGGGACTTGAGGAATGTATGTATACACAGGCACAATTCTCTGAAACATCACTCTTTGGTCTTTACTCCTCAGGAACCATAATTCATGAAGACGATAATTGAACCACGGCAAGTGTTTCAAATGATATGAGAACTACGGCAAGTGTTTCAATATCAACAGACTTGAGAAATAGGATTCTTCTTACAAGAACTAAACCTATTTTATTGGGGGGAAAAAAATTAAGGAAAATCCAGTCAACCAACGCAAAATGATCAATATAAGAATTGGCTAAAACAAGTAGAAGAAAAGAAACCTCCTCAAACTTAGTTGGCGTGGTGATATCTAGGCTCACAAGTTAACCCCCCCTTTCAGAGTTCTGTGGAGGAGCCAAAAATAGCCAAGGACAATCTAGTAGATTGACTAGATTCTACCAAAATAGGGCAAAATTTGAGCAGCGTCTAAGTTTGTATCAGAAGAATTAAGCCGACCCTGCAGCAACCTTCTTCCGGACAATTCTTTTCCTCCGTGCTTTAGGAGCTGAAGATTCTGAGTTAGCGGCGGAGTCTAGACTGCCCTGTTTGATGCCCAGCAGCCCAAGCCCAGATACAACTGCATTCTTTGATATAAACCATTTTGAAGATGACTTTTCTTCATTCTCAGAAGACCTCCTGTATACTTTCAACAAGTCATCTGAATGAGCCAGGGGATCTACCTCAACTCCGAGCCAGGCACGCCTGGAGGTCTCTCCTAATTGAACATTCAATGCCCTGCACAAAGTCCACAATTAATGCTCAAGAAATAGCATCTCTGAATAATATCCCATCACCCCTGCAAGTACTAGAGTCAAATAAAAAACATTTGCTAATAATGTCAGGTATGTGCGGCTCCATATATGAAGCCAATTGTTGAAAAAGAAGCACTAGTGTGAAAAGGCCAGAGACAAGAAAAGGAAGCAAAAATGCGGCTCAGTAACTAAAAATGCTACTGATTTAGCACGAGAAACAGACCTCAAGGCTGTGCTAAAGAACAATGCAACTCCGATAACATCAAAATGGCTAATCATTGCTCTATCAAATCCGCATAATAGTTGGTATCTCAGGTTAGCATAGATTCCAAGGAAAGCACCATAACCAAGCGCATTGCTGCTCACACTGGGAACTGTCACAGATAACCTGCGGACAATTCCAAAGTCACATGAAATACAATAAAAGGTGGCGTTTAGTAACTGTAGTTCCATCAATTAGATGCAGAATTATACATTTCAGTACTTGAATGAACCAAATTTGAACATAATTGAACACTGTTTTGGTTTCACCCTCGCTTACCTTCCCTCCTTTTTACTAGCCAATGTGTTTGACAATGCACCTTGTACCGCCCCAGTACTCAACCCAACCATGCACAACTCTGCAGCCTTGTATAAGAAACATTGGATTCTCTTTTGCAAGTCAAATTCTCTAAGTGGATAGCTCTTTTCAAATATGTTGTTTGGAAGCTTCTGCAAGGTATTTTGTAAATCAAACCGAAATGTGTTTCCATATGATCGACAAGGAGCAAGTGACCAAACAACTACAGCATTGCATGCGGCCACAGTGAGCACATTGATAAGTGCAAGATCCCATTCCTGCTTTATCCTGGAGTCAGGTTGAAGTTAGCAATTATTAAGTAAATGGTTAAATTCATTCAATGAGAACATCAAACCTATCTTCAAGTAGTTTTAAAACAGACAACACACCTATCCTTCCGGTTTTTAAACTCCCACCACGCTGAGAAACCTATTGTAGCAGCCTCTTCCAATAGAAGCCTATACATAAATGCAGGATCTGCAAGCAACCTGTGCAATATAACATTAATGCATGTGCATTAAACTATACACTTTTAATAAAAATTAAACAGATGAGTGAAAGAGATCACTAAATTTTCCACACATTTAAGAGGTCAGCTAAACTACCAAGTCTTATCAGACATGAGAGGACATGATATGTGGTAAACTGGTAATAGTATTAGTAGGGGCAAGAAGGTAAATGGGAAATGAGTAGTGGACTAGTGGTCTATAAATAGGATGTTAGAAATTATACCGGGTGTTGATTGAATACATATTTTACTGTTTACTCTCTGCTCTCTCTTCTCTCTCTGTTTACCTTTAACAAAGGTATCAGAGCCTTTTGTCCGGTCCATGGCACCACCGCCGGACATTCGATCCTCTGCATGCATTAATGATTTGGAGCATCGACTTGAGCTCCAGCAAGTCTCCCTTGATGCTATTCACTCACGCTTGGACCAACATGCTCTGGCTATCAATGATCTGAAATTATCGGCGAGTAGGTTGGATGAATATCTCCAAGTTATTCTTGCTCAAATCTCCTATGTCTCATCAGATCCGGTCACTGACTCAGGCGAAGGGGGATCTACCTCTATTCTGCTCGTTGAATCAGATGAGAAAAATGGAGATGAAGTTAGGAACGATTCGAATCTGTATGAAATCGTTGCAACCGAAAACAAAATAGCCAACGATGATGATATGAACAACATGACCAATGAGAACCAGGACACGGAAGCTGGTGCAGAAACAATGGTGGAGTCGAAGGCCAACGCAAAAGTTGAGAGAGTTGAAGAAGTTACTGTGATTTCGAAATGCACACTTTCTGTCGATGACAAGCTGAAGGATCTCAACAACGAGAAATTAGACGAAGCTATAAAGGAATCATCTCAACATGACAATGTAGCTGCAGTCGTGAATGGCAAGACTCAAATCGGTGAGGCTAAAGCAAATCAAGTAATACGTGAGAATGACAAGAACATGGGAACAGATCAACAAATGAAAGAACCAACGCCTTTGCTTAGTTGCAGGAGTGATGATGGATTCCGGCATTATGGGATGCTCTACCTTCATCAACGATTCTTCCTAGCGAAACAGTTACTATACCTTCGACGCTGTTGGGCTTTACACAAGAGGGCACGCCCATCCTTCTCTGTTCCCAAGACGTCACAAATGTCTTCTCTGTTTGCTGCTCGAACTACTGATTTTGGGACCTCTAGGTCTTCTTCCATTTTGGGACCGAAGTTCGGCCCCCTTCCACAGTCACTTGGGGATGAGTCCAAGTTGCAAGCCCTTATAGCTCCTTCTGTTTTTTTTTCGTTGCCTGCGAACACCTCTGTGTCTGTGTCTTCTATGAATACTCTTCTGCAGGCATCTTGTTCACATCTGTTGAAGGCCACTAAGCAGATTCCATTCATTACAGAGGTCAAAACCTTGAGTCCAGGCCACTGCATAACTGTTGCGTTTCATTACCGTGCTGTCACACCATTATTGCTGTCCAGCACTGCTGCTGACGAGAAGTTTTTCGTAGGAGGAATGGAGAACACACTGGCCGACCTATGCATCAACGACCCTATGCGAACTCCAATGCATTCGCCGGAGCTGTTTGCGTTATTCATCAAGTGGAGGGATTCTGATCGAACGGCTAGAAGTGAGTTGTTGATTGATGAAGTCAAAGATCAGCTCAGCAAGGACGGAGATGGTTTTACATTCTGGGTGGGTAGGGCTGGTGCTGAAATCGGGTTGAACCCAAACACTAAAGGGATTAATGTGATGCTGGCTTTTGTTGGATTTACAGGGAGTAAAGAAATGGGCCTGTTGGGGCGTCTTTGGGGTGGGATGTCCATTTCCTTGCCCGTCTTATTGAACTCGAAAATCTTTACCCAGGCCAAAGAGCTTCGTTATTCGCCTTTCGAGTTTTTCGCTTCCATCTCAAAGGTGATGTGGTGCGGAAGTTTACTGCAGGTAGAGCCCAAAATTATAGCGATTGAAGCGAAGGAACTTTTTGTTTCTGAGGAATTCCTTGCTTCTATCAAAATTGGGGAAGGTGTGTCTGTGGCTTTGTGCTTGACCATGGCTGTTGCAGCTGCAACTTTCATCATACCATTGGGCCTAATCTTCTTAGCCTTTGTTCTTGTCATTAATCTCATCACCGCGGCAACGTGTTATGTCAATAGGATTGTAACAGAATTGTTATG